ATCTTCTGCACAGTCATGTCTTCTGCAAATAAAATAATTTATATCTCCCTTTCCAGTATCAGTATTATTTCCTCACCACTCATTCATTAACATTGCTGTGTAGTACAAATCACTTTTTAGAATACAATTTCTGCAAACATTTGGAAATTTATGAGTTCTATATTAGAATATTGTTTTGAAAGAAACTCCAATTAAAATTATTCAAATAAAATGGATGTTTTTCCTTTATAAAACCCTGCTGGTGGGGCTGGAGAGATTGCTCACCAGTGGAAAGCACTGACTGCTCTTGCAGAGGACCCAGGTTTGGGTCCCAACACCCACATGGAAGCTAACAACAATGAATAACTATAGTTCCAGGGACTCCAACCGCCTCTTTGGCATTGCATGCACAGGTGCAATATATATATGGGCAAAATGCTTATACACATAAAAATAAATAAATAAATAAAAACTGTTTGAACTCTCTGGTTAGTGCAGAGAATGAGACAGGATATGAGTCCCACATAGCCTGTTGGCTGTCCTTTTCTGTTTGATGGAGGCTGGTCTCTGATGTCTGCCTTCCAGTGTGTAAGAAAGGAGAACAATGGGAAAGGGGGGACAAGCAAATTCTTGTTATGAAGCAGATGGAAATAGTACAAATCATTTCTATTCATTTTTTGCATATTCTGAGGTCACATCTACCTGAAAAGGAAGCTTGAAAATGGGATCTCTAGAGGTTCAGCTAGAAAAGGTAGAAAGGATTGGGACCAATTTTGAGGCAGCCACAGTCTCCAAAAGCAAATACAGTTAACACTTTTACTCTATTGGTTAGCCTTGTGGCCACACATCCAGGAACACACAACACACACAACACACACACACACTTATATAGACACATACATACATATATGCACATATACACACAGACACACAGACACACATGCACACATTACATAACACACACATACACAGAGAAAGGCACATTCCTCTAGTACATGAAGATGGCTTGAAGAGTGGATGAAAGTAGTCCTTGTCTGGGTTTCTGCTCCTTCTGAGAAGGAGGGCGTTATTCTACCTCTAGGGTACATGAATCTAGTATTATATACAAAATCTGGGCAATGGAGAGCAAGATTGCATCTGTAGGTTTCCTCCTGGCATGCTTCAGTTTTTCCTGGGCTGCTGCTGGAAAGAAACACATCAAAGATGTGGAAAAGTGGAGAGAAGCCACTAGGCACAGCCAGGCTGGCTATAGATCAAGGTGACAGCCAACAGCAATGATGGAGACAGAGCAGACCAAATAGAAGAGTACCATGGTCCGAGATAATCTAACCCAGAGAAGCGATCCCTGACATCCTTGAGTATTCACTGAAGTGTCACTGTACTACATACAGCCTGTCAAGTGCAGAAATGGATGCTCAGGATGGTGACCATGTAGAAATCAGCCCTGGGGGATGGGGGCAGGGTTCAATGCTGTGTATGTCCTTTCTGTTGCTCTTTACTCTCCTTTTCCCAGCATTCCACACCAAAAACCAGTTCTGGAATACCTTTATCCCAGTTAAATGAGATTTAAATGAACATTAACAAATTGTTTCTAAGGAAAATGAAACCTCAAAAGGAAAGCTTATGATGTAAGGGGACAATTGCTGTGTGATCAGCAAGGAACAGTTAAATGACCAACACTGGCAGAATATAAAAATAGAGGTAAGAGATAAAAAATGTTTCCAAGGGCCTGGCATGGTAACATACACCTTTAACCCCAGCATGCAGGAGGCAGAGGCAGGCGGATTAGTGAATTCTGTGCCATCCTGGTCTACATAGCGAGTTCCAGGCCAGTCAAGGCTACATAGTGAGACCATGTCTGAAAAAAAAATGTCCACATTCAAGGGTAAGTTTTGCCTAGATAGCTTCATTATCCAGTAAGATTAGCTAAATCTTAGAATGTGTTAATGGATATGTTTAATGTTAAAGCTTACATTGGCTATGAAGTATGTGTGTACACATATTTTCTTTGTCACTTTTTGAAGCCTAGAACTTGAACTTAAGATATTCGATCAATTTAAAAATGCCATTTTCTGGGGCCGGGGCAATAACTCAAGGGGCAAGAACACCTGCTACATTAGCATGAGGACTCAAGTTCAAATCTCCGGCACATAAAAAGTTGGTTTTGGTCATGTGTAAACCTGTGACTCCAGCTCTATGGAGGCCAGAGACACAAAGATCCCAGGGCTTGCAGGCCTCCAGGCAACCTCTAGGTTCAACGAGAGACCTTATCGCAAGGGAGTAAGGCAGGAAGTAATAAAGCAGGACGTGGGATGTCATTCTCTGGCTCTCCTTGTGTGTGCACAGGGGCACACACCCACACAGTCAAAAGTGTCATTTACCACCATTATGAGATTCATATAAAGGAGAAAATAATAGTACAGATAGTTCAGAAGGTATAAATCAGAACACAATTTAAATGTTTGTACTTCGTATTTTTGCTTCCTCCTCTTGACTTTGGTAAATAAAATAAACTAAGAGAATTTAGTTCAACTCCATCCAATAGGATCTTTCATGGATATAATATACATTTATTAATGCTTTCAAGTAGCAAAAAAACTTCTTTAGCCTCAGATCCAAAAAAGGGCTTTCCCATAAATACATGAAGCGAGAAGGAGGGTCTAAAGAACGAAAATATAACCAGAACCCACAAAGTTTCTAGAAATACCTTTCTGGAGCACTGCTTCATTTATTTGCATCTTTTTTGTCTGAAGAACTTTTTTTAAAGTGTGAGCTGAAGGTTATATGTTAGAGATCTCCATTGGCAGACAGACTTGTAACTTCCGAATCCAAACTTCTGTCTTTCTAGAAGGAAACACATTGGTCCAGCTTAGAAGAGTTTTCTCCTCCCAGCCTTATCAACTGTGACCCTTGTGGTAAGGTCATCTGTGTAACTCTAGATAAAGGGGAAATACATCTATAGGTGGTGGGGTAGTCTCAAAGAAGAGGGGTTATCAGAAGTTAGGATAATAGCCTCTAAACTGTCTATATATTCACTTGAAAAATAAACATGTAAAAATGAAGAAGTAAAATTTAGTGCAGTGATTGTATGTTGAAGTGATGCATTTAATCAAAAGCAAGTTAGATATAATAAAAACAGGATGAGACTTAGGATACATAGTCCTGGATTCAAATTTTGCTTCTGTGGATGATCACGGGTCCTTCATTTGTGGTTCTTCATCTTCTTATTTATAAAATGTAGATGATGATATTTTATCTAAAAAAGCATCTTTTGATAATTAGATACAGCAGCTATTAAATACCCAACACATGAAAGAATCCAGGCTAGAACAGTTGTTTCATCAAGTACATGTTAGACCCACAATCTTGGTGAAGCACTAGACCACAGGCTGACAAGAGAATTAACATGGATCCTCAGCAAGATCAATGTCTGTCAGTGTTGGGAAACAAATAAACAGATAATTTCAACGAAATATAGTCCATTTGTTGACTGTAATCCTAAATGTGATCTGGGAAGGGTTCAGGAAGGTGCTGAGATGTAGGTGTGTACTTTTGTTAGGCGCTAAGATTTGAACAAGAACATTCTGTATCAAGGCGGGGTAAAGCTTCCAGCTGAGCTCACATAGCTCTGCAAGGTTGAGCTTACATTTTATTTGTAGCAGGGAAAATACACTATAGTAATTTCAAAGATCTTTTCCAAACACTGCTGGCCTTAAATAAAAGGGGCAAGGAAATATCAACACATTTTTGTTTTATGGTTTTTGAGATGGAGTCACTATCATCTCACTGTGATGCTTACTCTAGCCTTGAACTCCTGGGCTCCTGATCCTCTTTCCTCAGTCCTAGAGTTAGTATTTGGGACTCCAAGTGTGTGTCACTGTGCTGGCTTTTCAGTAGCATTTTAATGCAAGGTTTTATATGGTAATGATGCCTGAAACTCCACAGTGTGGATACTTTAACTGTAGGTAACTCAGGGCATGGAAATAAGAATACAAAAAGTCTGTCACGTTTATTGATGTCAGCTCACAATATTTTTGTCTCAAGTTAACATTAGAAAAGTTTCAGAGCCACCTTTGCTTAGACTGGAAAAAAAGAAAGACATTGTACCAGCATTCGAGTATTTTAGAAAACTGTGACTTTGTCACAGTAGTCAAAGCTTTCCAGAGTGATTTACTATCTCAGAACAATCTGTTTATTTCACTTAGAAATTAGAAATGTGTCTTGGCCAGTAAATCTAAATTTATTTTGTAGTAGTCATTTTTCTTAATGGAAGTGTTTTCCAGATGTTGCCCAAGTCTAGTCGTCTGGGCCCTCTTCCAATAAATGAGGAAACTGATTTCATAGGTTGTCACTGTTGATTTTGTCTAACCTTTGGACTAATTGGTTCATCCCAATCTATTTGCACTGGTATATAAGACTTCCAGCACACTGGAGAAATTCATCTATCCTGTTACGGGTAAGTGTCAAAGTTAATTGGCTTTGTAGAATTAAGTACATTTTGATTAAAAGTGCTTGAAAAAAGGTAGTAGTTTGAAGAGTAGTTAGAAAGTTTTGAAAAGAATTGTATTTTTGTGATTCACCTGTGGGAAGCCTATTAACGTATATTGAGAGAGAAGGGAAAGTTGGAATAATAACTCGTCTGCTTTTGATAAACTCAGTTTTACTGAAACTGCTTATTTTTTCTCCAAGATATGATTTAAACTTTGTACTGTAAGTACATACAACTCTTTGAATAGCGTTTTCAGATAAGCCTGTCTTCTACTTTGGAGATGATTCTGAGGTAATATAGTGGTCAGTAATTTAACTGAAATAGCTTCAGGACTTGCTTTGCATAATATTAAATGGGATGATCAAAGACTTTCTAAGGAGTTCAAGCTGATTATTTTAAAGACTTGTTTCAAGAACAACACAGTTTTAAACTACATTTTGAAAGTTTCTAAACAGTGTGCGTAACACACACATTATTTGTTGGTGAGATTAAAGAGCAGATTTCTGATGCTTTTGTTTTATTTCCAGCAAGGGTGTTGCAGCTAAGAACAATCATGGAGTGGAAGGGTCTTCCCACTCACCTGCTGCTGCTGTTGCTGCTGCTATCTGTTTTCTTGACTCAACAAGTTTCATCTCAAGGTAACTTACCCATCAAAAAATGCTTTTATTTAACTACTGCTGTTAATCAGTTTGCATTTTATGACAACAAAAAATCAGAATCCTAAAATTTTATATTTGCTTGAGTTTAATATTTTACACTCTTAAAATTAAAACATATGCAGCGTATTTATGTGTTTGGAGAGTCTCCTTTTTCTATGGCATTATTAGATTTTTGAAGAATTTGTGAGCTTTGGTAGAAAATGGTTTCCCTACTCTGTTCCTATGGTTTTACTCCCAATTTTAAAGATACTGGCATTTACATGACAAAGCTATACTGGAGTTATACAACACCATCAAATCAACTGAAAAGAACATTTAAATAACATTTTTTAAACCTGTATGTTGACAAATTTAACTCAACCTTTACATCAAATAAATTATTGATTTGGCATCAGGGAGACATTGGCATATTATAATGAACACTAGCATGTTTGGTGTGGAATTCATCTGTTGAGCATTCTCTCTGTCTTGAAAGGACTATTCATCCCAGTGTGGACTTATGCAGAGGGGAATGCCACTGCCTAGCTTCAATACTGAAGAGTTCAGCCCTTCTCAGTCAGTCCTAGGTGAACAATTTCCGTTATTCCTCTTGATAGAATGTTACTAAATATATATTCAATATAATCACAGTAGGAAAAGTTTTATGCTTGAGATTTAGGTTGCTTAGTGAACAATATCTAACTTTAGATTTTTCCCTTTGGCACACACAGCCTGATAGAAGAAAAATCAATGTCCACAATTGTGGTGAGGTTTTATTTTTAAAGCAGACATTTCCAGCAAAATCTCTAAAATTCTCATGAAACTTGAACATGAGGTGACTGCTTACTTAGGCATGGTTTAAAGTCACTCCAGTAAGAAAAGGTGGAGAAACACAGAAAGCGATCTAAATACTGAGTTAGGAATGATGACCGCTCTCATCTCTCTCAGACCCTTCAGCTTTCTCATTTGGTACTAAGACTCACAACACTGAGTGTCTCCTAAATCATCTTTTCCTTCCTAATACAATAGCCTGTTCACTGAAAGTTTTTTATTTAAATAAATACAATTAAAATTAGTGGGGCTGGGGAGAGGGCCTAATGGTAAAGTGCCTGCTACATAAGAATAAAAACCTGAGTTTAGATGCCCAGCACCCAAGTCAAAAGCAGGGTGCAGTAATACGCACTTGTAACCCCAGTTCTAGGATGTAGAGACAGTAGACCCTGGGGCCCACTGACCCACCAGTCTAGTGGAAATGGTAAGTCCAGGTTCAGGGAGAGGCCCAACTCTGTTCCAGAAAATAGGGTGGAGACAGATGATCTCTAACATCTACCTCTATATATCTGCACACACATGTACAAACACATGCATGCACCGCATGCACACACATGCACAAATTAGTAGATAAAATGAATAGCAACAAAATAAAAGGGTATAATCTATGGAAATGAAGAAGTTGACTTGTTTCAGAAATCTGCTAAGTGTAAAAGAATAATCTTTTGATGCTGTTTTGTCTGCTTCTCTTGCCGTTTCAACCTCCTATTCTTTTCCTTTTATATATAATATATGTATTCATATACATACACTATATATGCATTTTTGTATGTGTTGTGCACATATGTATGTAAGCAGAAGTTCTGAAAGTTATCCTACTCTTTATTGCTTAGTTGTGTATTAAGACGTTAACTTTCTTGGATTCTCTTGAGATTGTTTTTCAGTGTGTTTCAACATCCCTCTATGGATTTAGGACATTTCAGAGGTGGAATCTCTTGTTGTTGCCTCTTGGAAAGGCCTTCATTTGTTGTCTGCCAAATGATTTTTAGAAATATTTGCAGATAATCATTCCTTCATTATACTTTGCTTGGCCCCCAAAACTCAGTTTGTGACCTTTAGACTCATATTCATATCCTATTTCAAGGGTTCTCTCTTACCTCTGCTGACAAAGGAGAGCACCAAGTAAAGTGATCCTGGCATAACCAGACTGCTCTAAATTAACCAGCTGGTGGAAATGAGAGGCAATGCAATTGGTGGGAAGAGCTTATGCTTTAAATGAGGTGGATCAGAGCTCAATGTTTACTTAGATGACTATATAATTAATTACAATTAATGGAACCTATAAAAGAGTGAAGGGGGTCAGTAAATAATGAATCAATAACACAGATACATTGTAACCAGTAACCAGCTGTGCAACATTCAACAAGTTATTAGAATTTCTGTGTCATTACTATTACCTTGAGAAGGACTGCTAATGCTCTCCTGGAAACATTTTTATAAGCACTGGAGACAAAGCACATAGTTCAGTAGTACTTGGCCCATAGATGCTCTATAGATGGCAGGTAGTTAAAACAGCAGCAGCAGCAAAAGCTGTAACTGCTGGCCTTCCTGCAAAGATTGCCTCTCCTCATGCAAACATCACTTTGCCTGATTTTCAAAGGTGTGTTTATCATCCCAGTCTAACGAAGAATAAAGTGATGATTAAGGTCACATAAAAGAACAGCCCAACATCTGCTAGGTCTATCGCTAAGCATCATTCCCAGCCTTTCCCAGTGGGTAGTTCTTCCTGATCAGTGGCTTTGTCCTCCTTAATAGATATCTCCTTGTCTAAAAGTGGTTTGGCCATGTTTACTCTAGTATTGTATGATTTTAGATTTATCAAGCTGTGCAGGGAGATGTGGGGAAGGGTATTCTAGAGATGCCACCTGCAACTGTGATTATAACTGTCAACACTACATGGAGTGCTGCCCCGATTTCAAGAAAGTCTGCACTGTAGGTAAGTCCTGAGAGCTGGGTGTCCTGTCGAGCCCACTGTCCTGTGAGCCTGCTTTTGCAGGCCTATGCTCCCTTGATTTCACCTTCTTTGCTTAAGTCCTTTTCCCCCTCACTTGCATAAATGTTGCAGTTCACAGTACCTAAGGATGGGTTCGGAGCTTGTGGTTACCAGAGAGTAGACAGGAACCTGGAAATTTGTCACTTGCACATATTTATTGACTGTAGATTGTCTTCAGTACAGAATTAATACTGTAACTTAGCAGGCATTAAGAAAAAGTTAGGTATACTTCTTCAGTAACAATTAGAGTTGTAATTGTTTAGTGATAGGGACCGTCAGATAGTTTTATCAAAAGGATCTACATGCACAGATTAATTCTATATACAATCTGACCTTTTATTGTTACTATGTTTCTAAATTTCCTGAAAAGGATATTTTAAAGATCAAACATTAGTGTTTAATGATGAATTTCAGTCAAAATCCAAAGGGGTCTGAATTAGTGGCATTTCACTTGGGCATAGTTTGAGTCATTTTTTTTGTAATCAATGCAGAAAAATTTAATACTCAATTTATGAAATCTATAATTAAAATGTGTAAAGTTATATTTGCTCTAGAATTTCATGTGAAGGTGGTTAACTATAGTGTTGTATGCTTAATGTATTGGGTAAAATATTTTAAGTAGGTCTTGGTAAGTCACTGTACTTCTAATCAAGTTTCTTTCTGACATGAGCATGCCTTTTAACAGAGCCCACACCATGGGATTAAGCTGAAATTTTCAGTCCTATATTCTCTCCAGGTCTCCATAATAAAAGTCTCTGCATTGTAAGTGATTTTTGAGCCTGAACAGTGGCCTATTATGTCAGTTCCTTGAAATATATTGTTATAAGACGTGAATTACTATAAATACATCAATTACTATAAATCTATTGCAGAGAAATGGTGTCAGTGGAATGAGGAGAGGATGAAGGACTTCATAGGAAGGGTGGTTTGCTGTGTAGATATTTCCTGATTTCTATTATCAACAAATGTAAATGTCTCAGGCAGCATTGGGTGTCTCCTGGCACCTCAAAGGACAAAGGATGATAGTCTAACTCATTTCTTTCTTACTTAGGCTGTCTCCATTTGGGACATCATTTCTTTTTCATTTATTTATGATTTATTTATTCACACTGGATGATATATGTGCTCCAATTCTCAAATTTAAAAACTTAGAAACACACCCTTGGGACTCTAGTCATCTATGGTATGGGAAATGGCTACAAGATGTGTAACTACTGCTTTATAACTAATAACCGGGGCTGGAGAGATGGCTTAGCAGTTAAGAACACTGGTTGTTCTTGCAGAAGACCCGGGTTCGAATCCCAGCACCCACATGGCAGCTAACAACTGTCCATAACTTCAGTCCCAGGGGATCCGACAGCCTCTTCTGTCTTCCGCAGGCATTACATAACACGGGTGCACTTACCTACGTGCAGGCAATACATGCATACACATAAAATAAAAATAATAAATAAAAAATCAAAAAACAAAACAACAACAACAAAAAAACCCCTAATGTATGATGTCTGTTTTGCTCTGGGTAGAGCTCTCCTGTAAAGGCCGCTGCTTCGAGTCCTTTGCGCGGGGGAGGGAGTGCGACTGTGACGCCCAGTGTAAGAAGTTTGGCAAGTGTTGTGCTGACTATGAAAGTTTCTGTGAAGAAGGTAAGGATCATGGTACCGGTCAACGCTTCTCGGCACAATCAGTTCTGAAAATGACCTTGGCTTTACTATCTAATACACAGCCCATCTAAGGTCTCAGTTTTATTAATGTATAAGGTATTTCGTAGTAATTTGTTTCACGAGGAATTAAAGAAAAGCATCTTCCCAGAGGAGTTCAGAGGGGTGCAGAAGCACAGAGATCGCTGGCCGAATAGCAGAGAAGAGGCAGGCGGAGTGTTAGGCTTTTATCTCAGAGGTGGTTCCATTTCAGATTAAATATACAACAATCAGCTCATTTGACAATTTCTTGTCCCCACTAACTGGTACTTGACTCCACTGCTTTAGGCTGCAAGGTATGAGCCTGTATTTAAGGACAGAGCAATATTTCCAGCTTCTTTTCACAAAAAATTATGAATTAAGTCAGCAGATTTACAGGCAAATTTACCAAAAGTTGGTAATTCAATTATCTGTTCCTTCCTATCCCTCCAGCCCCTTCAATAATCTCTGAACAAAGCTTGTACATGATAAGGTCAATAAAAAAGCATAGTCTTGCTTCAGAGCTGTTCTCTGGCATAAGACTTAAAGGAATACTCTTACAGTATAACAGAACCTTTAAGATTTTACAAAATAAATAAACAAAAGATACTTCCTCGATCAATATATCAATATTTGTTCTTAATCATACTTTCTTAAAATGAGACTCCATGAATGTGAAAGTGAAATAGGCATTATTTGCATAATCCTGTTTTACTGGAACAGGTTATATCTCTTGTTTCTTTAGAGCAGTAGAGAAATGGAGTGGAAAACTTAATCAGCAGAGCTGAGGGATGGTTCTTAACTGTTCAATGTTTTCATTGAAAAGTATTCTAAAAATAATGGAGACAACACCCTTGTTTTCAAAAATTCAGAGCTCAGTGTTCCCGCAGCTTTCAGAGGCCCCATGATGGGGATATATACTCACTACCTTGATAATTATTTTGGCTATGTGACAAAAACTGAAACAAAACAATAACAACAAAAACAACAACAACAAAAACAAATGCTAGAATGTGAAAAAAAAAAAGCAATTACAGAATTCATGAAGATAGTAAGGGTCCTGATTGGAAAGGGAAGCATTCAGAACTTCGTTTAAAAAATAGCAAAGTATTGATGCTTACTACCAAATTGTTTCAGGGCTGCTATAGATACTAGTTTTAGGGATCTATTTATCTAAAAACTCTTAACATTTCAAGAATTGACGGGAGTCATAGCATATTGCCTTCCAATGTGGGTAAGAGAAAAACCTGAAAGGTTATCTGTTTTGGCCAAGATCACTAACTAGTACATGGCAGAACTGTTACTCAACTTGATATTTTGCTGAGTAGGGGGAGAGAAGAGAGGTACGTGGTTCACAGAGATCAGAAATAGTGTTCTGAAAATATGTTGGTGCACATAGCAGGAGGCATCACAACTGCACCCTTCCCAGAGTCCCCACTGCTGTTTTCCTATCTTTCAGAAGTCCCTCTCCTTCCTGAGTCCCAGTGATGCCCCATGTTTGCTCTTTCATACATGATGAGTGGGAGGAGGGAATAAGGCTAAAGAGACACACACCAAACCATTCATGCTTGTTTACTTGGAAAGAAATATGTGAAAACATGAGATTTTCAAAATATCCATGTACAACTTTTATAAGAAAAACAGACAAATTGGCATCATTTGACTTAAATACATATGAATACAGGAAAAGTATAATTCTTATACTTGATAAGAGTATGGTTAACCCATCATCAACATGCAGCATTATTTCTGTAATCATAGGAAGATGGGCAAAGCTCATAGTTACATCTTGTTTTGGGTGGGCATTCACCTTCAGAAATAGTGAATATACATCTCACTTTGCAGCTGAGAAAATAAAGTTCAATAGAGTTTGGCCTATATGCCCATGGTCATAAAGGTAGACATTTGTGGGTCCAAGACTGTCATTTAGAGCATCTAATTCCTAAGACTTTGTTTTCTATCAAAACTTTCTACACTTTGGGAATCACTATTTTATAGTACTGTGTAGAACTGCTACAGAATTATTTGGTTTGGAGTTATTCAAGTTGGGCTAGAGCCTTCCTGTACTGACATTTATCAGTACCTACTCTTGAAGCCACACGCATCCATGCTTCTCAGTTAGCACTACAGATGAATACAAACTGGATGTTAATCAACCTGTCTTGCTTGGCCTCAGTGCATAATCCCACAACACCACCACCTCCAAAGACTGCACCTCCGCGTCCAGAAGCATCTCAAACCATCAAATCAACCACCAAACGCTCATCTAAATCACCAAAAAAGAAGACTAAGAAAGTTATAGAATCAGAGGAAATAACAGAAGGTAGGAAGATGACAGACAGCACTACAGGAGATTTCCAAGACGAAATAACCTGTAGGTGGACTACTCAAATGAGTATCCTCAGAGGGCAATCCTACAAGTCATGAAGGGCTTATTTTAGTTTTTTGTCTACTTGATTTAAGCTAAACTTTACACCCAAGCATAAACTCGGGCATATAGCCTTTATTTAACAAACCTAGCATGGATCTTTGTCAGAAAGGACAAATCTTACTGTAAAAACCAAAAAATTCATCCCTTTTTTCCTTTATCTTTTCTTACAGAATTAATTAACTCTGTAAGAAATTTTGGCAAGTGTGAGAAAATCAGGAGAAAGTCATATTGTTAGAATGTGTGATAAACTCAAATGCATTGCTTCTAACTGATGACTTAAGAAAGCAATCATTTGCATTACCAATAAAGTAAGTGCAGACCCAAACTTCTACAGACCAGTTATCACCAGTTCTTACTGTATGTGGACCCACAGTTCTTTTTTGTTTGTCTGTTTGCTTTAAATCAGAGTTGGTGTGATCAAACTTTTTATTTGATTTATAGAACATTCTGTTTCTGAAAATCAAGAGTCCTCCTCCTCCTCCTCCTCTTCCTCTTCAACTATTCGGAAAATCAAGTCTTCCAAAAATTCAGCTAATAGAGAATTACAGAAGAAACCAAAAGGTTTGAGCATTGATAAAGATCAAAGACTCTATCAATGCCGTGTTAACAATAATTTTTTAACAATGTGTTGATAGAATTATTTGAGATTTCAGTATTTGGGAGGTACAGGCCTTTTAAAAGCAGTCATTTTAGAAAGTGCCAAATGAACACATCTTACAGGAAATTTAGCCTTAAGCAGTTAAGAAGACAGTCTTGAAATCAAAGGCTAAGAAGATACTGTAGCAGTGACCGTGGAGGCACAGGAGAGTGCCGGGGATGACGGTTGTGGTGGCCTGTGGCAACCCCTGCCTAGCTGACTACTGTGCATTCTTCCCGTCCTTTCCCCCCCAGGCTTCCATTTTCCCTTCTACAGCTTCATTTTACTTAATTAAAAACTTATATAGTGCTTCAAGTGTTTTACCAATATTAATCCTGATGTTCCCCTAAATCTTGGTGGCAAGATTATTATTCATATTTTACAGATCTTTTCTAATATTAACACATCTGGCTTGTTTTTCTCTGGGAGCTTATGTAATTTATTATTTCCTGAAACAAGATTGCATTTGTTCTGCTCTTTGTATTTCCTGAAATTAAAAATATATTCTCCCCGGGCATGGTGGCACACGACTTTAATCCCAGCACTCAGGAGACAGAGGCAGGCAGATCTCTGTGAGTTCGAGGCCAGCCTGGTCTCCATGGTGAATCCAGGACAGCTGGGGCTACAGGGGACCCTGTCTCAAAAAGACCATATATATATATATATATGACCCTGTCTCAAAAAGACCAATATATATATATTTTTTTCTCTCTCTCTCCCTAGTAAGTACTAGATATTTGAGGAACTGTTTCCTAGGTGACTGTGGTTTCTCTCAAACATTCTGTCTAGCCTAATAGCCAGAGAGTCTATGTTTAAGTCATTCCAGGAATTTTGCTCACAATAGAAGAGCAATGTAAGTTTGCTAAATGGAATTCCTGTGAGTGGAAAGGCTCCTTGGGATTATTAGCTCACCTAAGGGGTAGTTGCTTTGGGGAATTTTAAGTAGAGTCTTGCTGCTGCCCTGACATCCTAATGGCCTGTGTCCTCTGGGACTGTCAAATTTAATCCAGCAGATTAGGAGAGTAGAAGGGAGCAGCCCTATGTATGGCAACAAGGTTCAACAGAAACCCCTGGGAAGCCTGAAGCCAAATCCGCAGTGTTAGTTGTGGAGGCCTCTGCAGTAATTGGTGTATGGAATCTACAAGAGGCTAGAATCAAGTTTCTAGGAAGAGACAAAGCAATAAGGAATGGGGGGGGAGGGGGCTGTGTGGAAAGTGAGGAGCAAGGAACATTAACACAGAGATGGACTGATCGCTTGGCTGGCATTTCAGAGTTGCCACTTCCACGTTATTTATGCATAGGGTTTTATTTGTGTTTTTCAGCTATTATCTTATTCTCTCTATAAAAAGCCCCCAAAGCTAGGATATTTATTATTTTGTAATACATTAACAGATATATTAAAAGTTAGCAATTTGCTAAGAAACATACAGCTAATCCATGATAGGGGATATGCTCCTTATGTCACTATTAAAGGAAAAAAAATCAAAATAACAAGATATTTACTTTATTTTCTAGTAAAAGATAACAAGAAAGACACTCCCAAAAAGGAATCTGCCCCCAAACCGCCGGTCGTCGATGATACTGGAAGTGGACTGGACAGTGGTGAAACCAAGCTCACCCCAACACCTGACATTCCTACAACTCCACACAATAAAGTTGCCACATCTCCCAAGACTACAACAACAAAACCAGTAAGTCCTAAACCCAGTCATGCACCTAATTCTGAGACAACCAAAGAGGCATCTTTAACAGCCAATAAAGAGACAACGGTTGAAACTAAGATGACTGCAACAAATAAACAGACCTCCACCAGTGCAAAAGAGAAGACTACTTCAGCTAAAGAGATTCGCAGTGCAGAGAAAACATCTGCTAAAGATGTTGCACCCACATCTGATGTTCCTACACCCACTGCCCCCACGGAATCGGTTCCCACTACCACCAAGCCAATACCCACTACTACAAAGAAGCCTGAACCTACTTCCACCAAGGAGCCTAAACCTACCACTCCCAAAGAGCCTGAACCCACTACCACCAAGGAACCAGCTCCTACCACCCCTAAGGAGCCTATGCCCACTACCCCTAAGGAGCCTGAACCTACCACTACCAAGGAACCAGCCCCTACCACCCCTAAGGAGCCTATGCCCACTACCCCTAAGGAGCCTGAACTCACCACCCCTAAGGAGCCTGAACCCACCACCAAGGAACCAGCTCCTACCACCCCTAAGGAGCCTAAGCCCACCACCCCTAAGGAGCCTGAACCCACCACCAAGGAACCAGCTCCTACCACCCCTAAGGAGCCTAAGCCCACCACCCCTAAGGAGCCTGAACCCACCACCATCACGAAACCAGCCCCTGCCACCCCTAAGGAGCCTAAGCCCACCAGCCCTAAGGAGCCTGAACCCCCCACCATCAAGAAACCAGCCCCTACCACCCCTAAGGAGCCTGAACCCACCACCTCCAAGGAGCCTGAACCCACCATACCCCCAAAGCCTGAACCCACCATCTTCAAGAAGCCTGCACCCACTACCACCAAGGAGCCTGAACCTACCACCCCCAAGGAACCTGCACCCACTACTCCCAAGGAACCAGCTCCCACTAACCCTGGGGTACCTGAACCTACCACTCCCAAAGAATCAGCTCCCACTACCCCACAGGAGCCTGAATCTACTAACACTAAGGAATCAGCTTCCACAACCCGGAAGGAGCCTCCCACCACTCCACAGAGCCCTGCTGAAGCAACTCCTGTGTTTTCTGCAGAACCCACACCAAAGTCTCTTGAAAACAGTCCCAAGGAGTCTGCTATACCAACAAAGATTCCTGAGGTAACCAAACCTAAAATGACAACAGCTAAAGGCAAGACAACAGAAAAAGGCACACCCAAAATTACAACAGCTGCACCAAAAATTACAACAAAAGAGACACCAACTACGCCAGAAAAGACCACTGAATCAAAACCAACTACCACCACACAAGTAACACCCACAACTAAAGATACCACATCACCCCAAATTACTACTCTGAAAGCAACAACTCTGGCACCCAAAGTAATTGCTACTACAACTGAAGAGACTCTGAATAAAGCCGAAGAAAGGCCTGAATCAGAAGATACTGCCACTGATTTGAAGGCAACAACTCCCAAACCCCAGAAGCCAACCAAAGCACCCAAGAAGCCCTCTTCTACCAAAAAGCCAACCAAAGCACCCAAGAAGCCCTCTTCTACCAAAAAGCCCAAGACACCTAAAGCAAGAAGACCAAAGACTACACCAGCTCCTCCAAAGACCTCAACAGTGCCTGAACTGAATCCCACCTCTTTAGAAGCCATGCTGCAAACCACTACCAACCCCAGTCAAACTCCAAACTCAGAAATAGCTGAAGTAAATCCAAGTCATGAAGATACAGATGGAGCCGGAGAAAAACCTCACATGATTCCCAGGCCCCCAGTGTTAACACCCATCATTATTCCAGGCACTGAACACTTAGCAAGACACCCTAATCAAGGCATGAGCATCAACTCCATGCTTTCAGGTACTAAGCATCACTTTCATTTTTAAAATTGTAAATGCTAATTTATATCTGTATGAATCAGAATGCCCCGATTTAGTATCACACTACTGAGATATATTACCTAGAACTCTAACCTGTTAACTTAGCAAGTTTCATTATACGTCCCTACAGTTAAGCAGAGTAATGGTAGTGAGTATACTTAGTCTCCAGAAAACTGACCATAGTACAGCATTAGGAATTTAGTATGCACGTCCTCAGAAGCAGAGATGGTGTACAGAATGTCAAAATAATTTAGTGAGGAGTCTGTCCTTAAGAAAGCATAATGCAAAGAAAAAGAATGTGTACTTTTACTCAATCAATGCAAAAATAATGCCTGAAAACATGAGCTCAAACATCTAATAAATGCCTCATGTACATGAAGTTCAAGCTAACCTGGCCCTTTATAATTCATAATTATTTTTTATGTGATACTTTTGGGTAGTATCACATTTAGTTAAGAGGAATTATAAAAAACTTTCACTTTTTTTTTTTTTTTTACCTTACACAATGTGCTTCAAGAGTTTTAAAAGGGTAAACAGGAACAATCCTGTGGAGTTCAACAACATGCTTTCCTCATTCTGTTCTGTATTTTTTGCTAATTTGTTTTAGATGAGACCAATTTATGCAACGGTAAGCCAGTAGATGGACTGACTACTTTGCGCAATGGGACACTGGTTGCATTTCGAGGTGAGCTCCGTATACATTTGCTTCCTCCTGTTTTTTTTTTTTTTTTTTTTAAATCAGTATATCCATTTAAAACATTTTTATTTTATATGTATGAGTGTTATGCCTGCATGTGTGGTAAGTGCACCTGTGTTGTGCAATGCCTGTGGAGGTCAGAAGAGGGCATCAGATTCCCTGGAACTGGAGTTATAGACAGTTAGCTGTCATGTGGGTGCCTGGGATCTGAGCCCAGGTCTTCCGCAAGAACAACCAGTGCTCTTAACTGCTTCCTCCTCCAGCCCCACTTCCTCCTGTTTTGTGTTAGTGTTCATGAGATCAAAGTCAGGAGAGTGTTAACTGCCTAACTGATGACTCTACAGACAATGAAAATACTGAATTAATACAATGAAGTATGTTAATATAGTATGAAAATTGAAGTTTTATTACTGAGTTTTGGGGGGCACAGGGATGACAGAATTTCAAAGGTATTTTCAATTTCCAATAAAATGGAATGACATCAGGATTTGTATCTCCTGCCTTATTTTTGAAAATAGCACCTTGTTCCATTTTGTGAAAGAATAACCAGAGAATTAAATCATTTCATACTAATTTTCTATGAACTCCAGCTAGTCTTCTTAGAACACAGATAAAGATTGAACAGAAACAAATCAAACACAGTAAAGGCTCAAGAGATTTTAGTAGTCAAATTATAATTCCTATATAATTCTATACCATATAAACATAAAATCCTATATAATTCTAAAATATAAAAACAGGGAAACCCATACAGATGTGACTTTAAGTCACAAAGCCAAAAAGGTCTTTCCAGAGGAAGATAAATACTAAAATATTTTAAAAGTTTTGCTAAATTTCGGAGTTAAGAAGCGCCACAGAAATACGCAAATCTTCCCTTAACACATCTTTCTTTATTACAATTAAGCATTTTTTTTTTTTTTCCTTCAGGGACAAGAGTGATTGTAGGCTGACATGTCTCTTTAATTTTTAGGTCATTATTTCTGGATGCTAAATCCATACAGACCACCATCTCCACCTCGTAGGATTACAGAAGTCTGGGGTATTCCCTCCCCTATTGATACTGTTTTTACTAGATGTAACTGTGAAGGAAAGACTTTCTTCTTTAAGGTAACAAAAATAGTTAGAAAAGAAATCAAATTATAATTGCAGCTTGTTATGACAACACACATCTTCCTAACCTTCAATTCAGAAGTGCTTTCATATTTTAATGAACTGTTCTATCATCAAAGTAACAGTCTTGATACTAAGAATTTAGTCAAATTCAGCAAATCTCACCTTCTTCCTATACTTAAATCTAAGAATGAGTTCCTCACATTACACCCCCCGCCCCCCCAGCAAAGCCTTTAACATTGCTTTCTTTTAAACAATCAGGATTCTCAGTACTGGCGCTTCACCAACGACATACAAGATGCAGGGTATCCTAAACAGATTGTAAAAGGATTTGGAGGACTAACAGGGAAAATAGTGGCAGCTCTTTCAATAGCTAAATTCAACAACAGGCCTGAATCTGTATATTTTTTCAAGAGAGGTATGTATCACATAATTGACAAAATTACTTTTAAAGAATTCATTTTTCAATATTTTCTTTTATTACTTACAATCCAAAAGGTGTTTTTACTGGCTAAAAAGCACTATTTTCAATGAGAAAAATGAAAAGTAACGGATGTATTTAGATCTCTTCAAATGTGAATGACAGCTCATCTAAGTTTTCAGATCACTAATAAAACACTGTCACTTTCAGTTATGCAATTTGTTGGATTAATTCTTTCAACATATTTTAGAGAGTACATATTATACTTTATCATTAACAAAAGCCAGTATTAATACCTAGATATACTTTTATGAAAAGCATCCAAAAAATGTAAAAGCAACCCTAACCCATTACTTTTCTGCATTAATATCAGTTTTGGTATTCCCTGTGATTTTCTGATACATAACAGGTGGCAACATTCAGCAGTATACTTATAAACAGGAACCCACGACCAAGTGTTCCAGAAGGAGGCCTGCTATAAACTACTCAGTGTACGGAGAAGCAGCTCAAGTCAGGAGACGCCGCTTTGAACGAGCTGTTGGCCCTTCTCAAACACACACCTTCAGAATTCATTATTCACCCATCAGAGTTGCTTATCAGGACAAAGGTAGCATCTGAACTATATTAGGAATTCTGATCACGAATTAGTTTCTTACAAAGAAAGCCTTATTAAATATTGACCTTAAAATAAGCACTAATAATTGAAACTTATTGATGCAAAACACACCAATGTCTTATTAAGTAATCAAGGATCGATTCTGTTTTTCTTTGTGGTTAAAGATTTTTATTCAAGCTTGTTAATTATAATAAACATCGAGCACTGTATACAAATCTGTAATTCTCAAAATGGCCTAAAGAGTTAAGATATTAAAGTCATACCAGAGAGCACAATCTGAGGAAGTGCAGTGTGCCAGTCTTCCTCCTGGTGGGATGAGGGAAATCAATGGGCAGGGCTCCCAGAATCAGATAGCTTTTTTTTCCTGACAGTAGGCAGCCAAGAGACCCCAGCTTACACTTGGGGAGAAGTTGCAGAACTCAGTAGCTACTCAGTGCATAGATTAAAACCTGGTTTTGTCTAACTTGTTTCATGATTGTGAGGCAAGGTGTCACTATGTAGCCCTCACTGGTGTAGAACTTGCAATTAGACAAGGCTGACAGTCTATTAACCTGATACCTTTTCTTTACAATGCCACCTGCAGGTTTCCTCCATAATGAAGTCAAAGTGAGTACCATGTGGAGAGGGTTTCCAAATGTGGTTACCTCAGCAATTACACTGCCCAACAGCAGAAAACCTGATGGCTACGATTACTATGCCTTTTCTAAGGGTAAGTTATATGGACAATCTTTGAGCTTCCCTCATTGTCACTTATGAAAGCACAAATGCAACTTAAGCAAAAACATCAAGCGTACAATGGTGACTGATGATGAAAATTGAACTTCAATGCTTACTCTGTCGCTGTGAAGAAGGGAGAACTTGGCATTAATTTCATTTAAGTGGACGCAGCACTATTCACTTCTACTCCTACCTTCAGGAAATTCTGATAAAGCATCAAATTATTGGGGCAAAACTGGTACTGAAAACCAGTATTTTACGTCTATCATATGTGGCACCTAACAGATGCCATTTATTATTAGTCTATAACGTGAGGGACATTCATGAGAGCCTAATTTTATTAATTATATATTATCATGATAATTTGCTTCAAAAAGACCAATTATCTAAATTATTCTCCCTATGATCCTATAATATGAATCCTTAAGAGTGTATTTTTTAAAAAAAGGATAAGACCCAAATGAATAATTTTTTAGACTTTCTTTCAAAATGGAAAGTTGAACACATTTTATTTGAAAGGTGTTGAAAAGTCATTCTATCAAGGCAATTATTTCTTTCTTGCCAGAGTTCACATTAACTAATAAACACATTTCTGATTCTGAAATGATATACTACCTTTGAATATAGTAATCAACACAAGTGTTTTGCTTTCTTTTTAATAAAAAAAAAATGATTTCTCTTCCATTTAGATCAATACTACAATATCGATGTGCCTAGCAGAACAGCAAGACCAATTACTACTCGTTCTGGGCAGACACTCTCCAAAGTCTGGTACAACTGCCCTTAGACTGACAAGCAAAGGAAGACTCAAGTAAAATGAAGACAACAATGATAAAGTCCGACATCGAAACACATTTTATTAATAAAGAATGTTGAAATGAGCATACCATTTACATACAAAAATGTTTCTCAACTTGACAATCATTACATTAAAACAGATTTGCCGATTTTATTCACAGGTGTCATAGTTTACAGACCACTTAATTAATATTTCCTCTATTTATTCCTCCTCTTCCTCCCATTGCATGGCTTACACCTGTAGAAAGAAAAAACAGCAATCATTCAAGACCTATTTTCAACTACAAATATTTAAGGCATTATGGATATAAAAAGATGTGTCACATGTTTACTGGAAATCATTACAACAACTGGGTTACCTGGGTATAGTGACACACACCTTTAATCCCAGTACCTGGGAGGCAGAGACGCAGGCAGGTGGATCTCTGTAAGTTTGAGGCTTGCCTAGTCTAATTAGTGAGTTCTGGGCCAGCCAGGGTTACACAGTGAGACCCTGTCTCAAAATCAACAACCCAGGGCTGTAGAGCTGGCTCAATGGTTAAGAGCACTGGCTGCTCTTGCAGAAAACCTGGGTTTGAATCCCAGCACCCATATGGCAGCAAAAACGGTCAGTAACTCCAGTTCCAGGGGATCTGGAAAATTGGGTCACTATTTTTTTTTTAATTTTTAATTTTATGTGTACGAGTGTTATGCCTACATGCGTGTTAAATGCACTCATGTCATACAGTGTCCGTGGAGGACCAAAGAGAAGGTGTAGGATCCCCTGGAACTGGAGTTATGGATGGTTAATAGCCACCACAGATGCTAAGATTCGAACCTGGGTCTTCTGCAAGAAGAGCCAGTGTTTTTAACTGCAGAGCCATCTCTCTAGTCCCTGGGTTACTACTGTTATGATAGAAATACAATGTAACAGTTACATTACAGAACATGGAAATACTAATATTTTACATTTCTTTACTAGCTGCAATATAGCCACAAAACTTCATTCTGCTGCACAAAAAATTAACAATGTAATGAATACAAGTAGAAATACTACAAAAAACACAGAACACAAATGTTACTCTTTGGATCTAAGAAAGAAAGAAGAGAAAGTGTGAGAATACATTCATTATTTAATGATGGCATATAAACCTGCCTAAAAGAAGGTTTCTGGTTGCTAAACACTACATCATCAATATATAATTATTAATCAGTCCTTAGGACATTTGTTTTAGAGACTTGCTGCACCTTATTACCCCACAACCACATAATCAGTACATCAGAAATTCACCTCTCTGTCTGTTAAACTGACGACCACGAACACCTTGTCGCAATGTTGTCTGAAGTCTTACTCGTCTGAAGGGCTTTGGCTGACTACTACTAGTATCTAAAAGAAACATCAGGAGAAAAGAAAAGCAGGTTAAAAAAATAAGGTAGCAATCACATGGCAAAATCAACTACTTAAATCAATGCAGAGACAAAATAGAGATGTGCCCATTTGTTTTCTATACTGAAGCTTGCTTTGTAAGAGTGAAGAATATTTTTTAAATATTTTATTATTTCTTTTTATTATTTATATATTTTTAAAATTTTTTAATTTTATTTTGTGTATGTGTGTATTGCCTGCATGTAGGTAGTGCACCTGGGTTGTGCAACACCCGTGGAGATAAGATGCTGTTGGATCCCCTGGACTGGAGTTAAGGACAGTTGTTAGCTGCCATGTGGGTGCTAGAACTCAAACCCGGGGCTTCTGCAAGAACAACCAGTATTCTTAACCACTGAGCCATCTCTCCATCTATTTTATGAGTGTTTTGTCTGCATGTAAGGTCAGAAGAGGGCATCGGATCCCCTGAACTGGGAGTAACATAGATGACTGTTAGCCATCATGTGAGTGCTGGGATTCGAACCTGGGTCTTCTGCAAGAGCAGCCAGTGCTCTTACCAACTAAGCCATTTACCTAGCCCTGAGTAAAGGATATTTAGCAAACATAAAAAAGGTAAAAAGTACAACACAAAAAATTTCAAAACTTTATTTGGAAAAAAAGCATTTGACTTTATTTATTCAATCACTTGACTAATTTAGTAGGTATTTACTTGATGACTACTAAATATCACACATGGTTCTAGGTGCATGGGAATATTGCAGGAAACAAAGTTAATGGGTCCCTTAGCAGACAGACACATATGGGTCAAATCTAATAATTAACAAATTCTGCCAGCTCAAAGCTTGAATATACTTCTTACAACCATACCTAACACCTCGTCCAAGTCATTGCCTTCATTCTGAATTATTCTAATAGCTTATACATTTTTTTTCTGTTCATTATTAATTTTCAGTCTCTGGTATACACCATAGCCAAATTGATTGTCATATGAAGTCATTAATCTACATGAGCACTTCAGTCATTTTCTATATACATGAAACCCAAAGCAAACATGAAGACTGATTTACCTATTCTTCATCACTCCCCTATCCATATGCCCTGCTGATCTCTGTCCTCAGTTTCAATCTGGCCCAGCCATGGTGGCCTCCTTGCCAACTCTGAATGTCTCAGATATACCAGTCTAGCTTAGGAACTTTGTGTCTGAATTCTTTTGACCCAGAACACATTATTCAAACTAGTACATAGTTTTGATCCCTTTCCAAATGTCATTCTCTTGGCTATACTTGCTGTGAAACCCCTACTATAAATATGTTAGGCACTCTAATTTGTGGCATGAGCTTGCTCAGATGGTGAGGTATAGTGCTATCCATTATCACATTAATGTAAAGGCATTCGAATTTCCTAGGCAACAAGCAACCATTTTCTTATTCAAGGGCTAGCTAGCATGGTAAGTAGTGTTAATTCTACTATCGAGGAAAGACAATTCTCACAGACTATTAGTAGTAGTAATAATTATGATACCATTTTCAATCTTTTGTGCATAAAACAGATTCTTACAGTTTACATGTATTTGTGATTTTGACTACAAGATTAATTATGAATCTTTATACTCATATTAAAATGTGCAGAGATCTAAATTCCAAGCTACTGAGAGATGGATATGGGATCTGAACCTAGACACGTCAGCTGGCTGATGTGTCACAAAAAAGCAACTAAGAATGACAGGGAGAGATGGTGGGATAGCAGTTAAGTGACTATAAAATATAAGTCAGCAAGTCAATAGAAATACAAGTGAACGTTCCATAGAAATTTCACTCAGAATTACTGCTATAAACAGAAATGGTAATAATCAGAGTGGATGACAGAATACTGTATTTCCTCAAACCTAAAAGGGACTTGCCTAAAAATTCAGAGATAAGAAGCCTAGCATACTGCTGAATGGAGTCTCTAGAGGCAAACTTCTTGAATTTGTATGCTACTTTTAGCTATGTGACCCCAAGAAGTAATTTAATCTTCCTGTGCCTCAGTCTGAATACTTAAAATATGGCAGCAAATTTCTACCAAACTGGGTTGCTGTGAAAATCAAATATATATAAAGGAGTTTAGAATAGCCTGAACCACAGTGAGTACTCAACAAATGCCTTTATTATTAAAAAAAGCTACAAAAAACTTTTATTATAGGAGAGACATACATTCTTTTTCAAAGTTAAATTAAAAAACTTTAAACACCAACCCCAAAACTCTTTACACTAGTAAATTTCAAACACTGTTTTGAAGTAAACAGAATCTTCACCTTTCAGTCCTCAGACTAAATCTGCTCTGGGTCAAACAGAGGAAGGAGGCCTGGTATCACTCTTTAGACTCCTTCCCAATACAACCACACTCAACAACTCAAGTAACACCTTTAAAAAAGGCCAAGATTTATATGATCTGGAGAAAAAATAGAGTATACGTAGCACCTTTAAGGGATCCAAGAACTCTGAATGGTGTCAACACAGGGTGACACCATTTGTCTGGATGAAATAGAAATAAACTATTTTGGGGGGATGGATCCACCTTCTCTGTATTTCTGATCATCGATGCCAGAGATCCTTGTAATAATAAAGTACTACAAGCCAACTTCCTTTAAATGATAAAATTTTTCCTTTAAATAATGCACTTTAAAACTGGGGTGTGGGGGAGTGTGTGGGGTGTGATTACTGATATACTTCTAGTAATACAGTGTCTTTGCAAACAAGCAAGTAATGCACAGAAGCTGCATGGGAGCAGTTCTTACCTACAGAAGAGCTGGAAGGAGGGTCCTGGCTGGTAGAAGGGAGGTCTGATTCATCTGATGCTTGAACATGCTCTTCTTCCTGCTGGCTATCAATTTCTAGGCCTGCTTCGGAACTAATGCTAAGAAAATAAATGCCAATTAGAAAATGTAAAACTGATTCTGGAATGTATCTTAATTGTTCCTAAGTTGTTTTTATTTATTTTAGATTAATTCCAGAGTTCTACCTCAACTAAAGATCAGGTCCTGCTACTGGTCACCATGTATTTTGTAAGAAGAGGTTCAAGTTGTTTTCCCCACACCCTTTCTTCCCTAGCACGTGCTCCACTTTCACTTTCTGTCTTCCATTGTTCAGTCATCATTTTTCCAACTGACAGGATGTTTACATTCTTGATAATCACAGAAATATATTACCTACATTTTTATAAACTCCAAAACAATCTATTAATGCAAGAGCACTAAAATAATTCACAATAGCCACAACTAGTAACAGCACATAAGTAGTCCACCGTAGCTCGTAACTCAGATCCAACACGCTGTAGGTCTGAGAGCTCCAGGTTCAAAGGCTATATTTTCATCATTCTTCCATCAAGAAGCAATAATTTGAAACTGGTCTAATCTTTTCATTTCTATCATCTGCACATGTCAGCACAGTAACTGTTAACAATTTACCTAAGACACATCTCTGAGGACTACATGTAAGTAATAACAGCTAGTAGTCTCAGTGGGACTTATAACCGCCCCAAATTAATTACTAACATTAGAGAACAAAAATAGATCTTTTTACCTTATAGACTAGAAGCCCTGCCCTAGATGAAACACTGCTAAACAAAACAAAGTAATTTAATTCCAACTAGGGAATCTGGATTCTCCAGACAATTATATAGCATAA